AACGAACGAACGAACGAACGAACAAATGAATCACTTGTTTGCCAACCTTCCAGCCAATTGGGGAGTGAAGGTTTCCCACTGAGATTTTTGAGCTTGCTGAGGCGTCTCCTTAGCCCCAAGGAGTCAGGTAGGTGTCGCAGAGAATCAGAAGTGCCTTTTATGTAAGATAGGCAGTGTGTCTGTTGGAAAACTATTGGCTTTGGACGTGAAAAACCTTCGAAGCCCAGAGGGTTCACTCTGATTCTTCGAGGCGCCCTCACCAGTGTGTGCAAAATAAAGGGAATAATACCCAACGCCTCAGGGGTGTTGGAAATATTCAGTGAGATACTGTGAGCAAACTGCCCTCCCCTTTCTGGTTCCCGATGCCTGTTTAAGAGTAAAATAGGTATTGAGTAGGTGGTGTAAGTGGAAGGATTGGAAGGGTAAAGTACAGACTCTGGGTGGAAATTGAAGGGGCTTTTTTGGCTCAACACACACACAAAGTATCATTGTCTTTGTGGCCACTGTCTTTGAAGCAGCTGCTTCTCCTGAGGGTTTACAATACATAGAAGCAAAGCTCCCATCATCTACGTATTCTTCATATTCCACAGGCCTTCACCATTTCCCCAGTTTTCGAACACGATGTTTTTCAGGAAAAAATAAATAAATCTAGCTTTCTGCTTACCCATTCGGTCTCAGCTTCCTCGTTCCGGGCTCAAGAAACTCTGTCTCCTCCTCCATTTCCGTTTCAAGGATCATGTTTTTCTGAGAAGGCTGTGGTGAAAGCATTTCCCAGTCATTGTCATGGGCGACAGCCTGCAGCATAACTGCATCTGGGTCAGCCCCGCCGCCGCGGCTCTTGTTCTTCCGCGATTGGCTGCCCAGACCAGAGGCCTCCTCTAGGGCTAAGGATTCCAGAGGCTTCATGCCTCCTAGAACTTGCATCTGGGCACCCTCGCCCACGCCACAATCAGAGGTTGACTCCACAGCTTGGCCAGCCCATCCAGGCCCTGAGTTCCTAGCTTCCAATGACTCGTCACCAACCTCGCTATGGCCCAAGACCATCCAATTCTGGTCTTGCCCAGGGCTTTCAAGAGCCGCTCTCTTCTCACCTTGGGGAGACAGTCTCTCTGCAGAATGATCTCGTCTTTCATTTAAAGAGGCAAGCTGACATGAATCCGGGAAGCCGGCCAGCTGAGTTCCTGACATCTCTTCTTCAGAACCTGCGTGAAACTCGTCTAATTCAGATGTGTTTTCGCTTGCCTCGCAGGCCTCTGGCTTTGCGGGTGAATTTTCTTCATGGTTGACAAGTATGTAACCCATGTGTGCCGCGTGATTATCTTCATTCCTCTCTGTGTACCTTTCTTCCCTGGATTCCGCTGTTACCTGCTCAGGCCCTTGGGTCGGAATTCTTTTTTCTTCTTCCAATTCTGATATTCCCTTGCTGGCACCTAGAAGCGGAAGGTGAAGGGGAGAAGAGGAGAACAAGCCTTCATGAACACGTCATGAGATGTGTGATCTTTGCAAATGCCCCATCTAAGGGGAGAGAAATTTAAGAACTTTTTTAGGGTTTTTTGTTTGTTTGTTTGTTTGTTTGTTTGTTTGGAGAGCTGTTTCATTTTCTCATAGGCTCTGAGAAAGGTATTACAGGAGCAGCAGACATTATGACTGCTGTGACACAGGACTAGGGGAGGCATGCATTGCAAATGAAGTTAGTTCCTCCCTTCCCCGCGTTGGTAGGAAAAGCTCAGTTTACAAATATGTTAATTGCGTGAAAACAGCAGTTTCTGGGGGTGGAGGAATGGGTTGTTTCTTACCATTTGGTGGTCCTACGTCTCCACCTGCTGGTGAATCCGAATTATCTGTCTCTACTTCCCAGTCGATGTTGGACGGAGACAGCTCAAGGTTGGGGTGGGCTCCCGCTGGCAAAGAAACGGACTCGGGGTCTTCATGAATATGCAGGACAACCAGTTGTCCAGGCTGTCTGTTGGGGGTCTCGGCGTGGTTTTCTTTGCTTTTTTGATCAGGAAGGGCGGAAAGCAGCATCTCGGCTGCTTCGGGCCCTAGAGACTCGTCCTCTGGAGACTCGGCTTCCTCTGTTGTTTTGACACCAAGGGTAGGTTCTGTGAGATAGGACAAATCAAAGGGGGGTGTGTAAGGTGCCAGCGAATGCTTCAGGGTGTCTTCTTCCAAGGGAGGGTCACCGCCATAGAGAAAATACTCAGGCTCTTTCATTAAATCTTCATCGATATTTTGGCCCATGACATCATATTCGAAATCACCCCACGAGGCTTCAGACGAACAGACCTCTTGCTTCCCTGCATCCCCGTCAACTGGCGTTTCTGGATTGCCCTCAGATAATGTCAATTTACTCATGTCATCTATTGTGCCCGTGGATGTGTTAAGACCTGAGGCATCGCTGAAGCTGTGGTCAAAGGCAGCTTCGCTTATGTCCAGGCAAGTGTCTGAAGCTAACGGGGCGTCAGGAACCGTGGCAGAATTCTCAGTAGCAAAAAGTTGCTCCTCGTCCAACAAGGCTCCTGCATCTGTCTGACTCTCAGGAGAGAGGCCCTCTGACACCAACAAGCTGTTGCTGTCCATCGCAGGCTCCTGGAGAGTTACAGAAATACCGGTCCCCACGTTTTCCATCATTGGGATTGTTCTCTCAACGAGTTCCAAAGCCGGTGCTACATCTGGGGCAGCAGCTTTGTCTGCTGCTTTTAAACCTGCATTGCCTTCACCATTTATTTCAGAAGGTTCAGGAGAACCTCTCTGAGAGGCAGGCTGAGATGAGCCACTTATGTTCACTTGATCACTGATCGGAGGCAGTGGGATTACATTTTCGGAATATAGTTCTGAATCGTATGGGACAAATTCCTGCCCAGGCTCCCGATTGGGTTCTTCATCCATCTTTGGCTCGGTGAGATATAACTCACTGGCTTCCCCTTCCGGTCCCACTCCAGCCCTGACGAGCGGTTCAGTCTCTTGCTTTGCTTCATGATCATGGCATATATCAGGGCTGTTGGAAGCCTGAGAGTTGCTGTCACGGTCACAGTGGGTCAGTATATCTGGATTCTCACCATCTGCTTTCAAACTGAAGGGCTGCTTAGCATCTATCCACAAGTCAGGCGAAGCTGAGGCCAGTTGCCCACCCTCCTGGAAGTTGCCGTGTAAAATATCTGGAACGAATGTGCCTTCGGGGCTCTCCCTAGGAGGACAGACATCCCATTCAGAGCCCGACTTCTTTATCAACTGGGTGGAAGAACTGACAGCCGGGAAATCTTCTGAGGCAATGCTGGAATTTGTTATTTCACTGGGGTACGATTTTTCTTCTTCCCACCGATTTGTTTCTTGACACTCCACGGTCAAAACATTAGATACGACACATTCATTTTCATCTGTGTGAGTAAACGTTGCGTCTGGCTGATCCCAGACGGACAGCGCTGTATTCTGACTCTGCTGCTCTTGGGTAGGTGTTTCAGAAGTCAGCTGTTCACCAGCAGAAGACAAGAAGGTTTGCTCTCTAGCATCCTTTTCTTTCATTTGGTCCAGTATCACAAGCTGGCCAAGCTGATCCGCTTCTGGGTCTGGCTGTCTCGGTTGAATGTTCCAGAGTTGCTCATGGGAGTTCTCCTCATTTTTCTCCAGAAAGGGTGACCGATGTTCATCACCGAAGGGCTGAGTGCAATGCGTTTCCATGGGTTCAATATCACCCTGGGTGGGTACTCCCCAGGGACCCACTTTGTGGTATACTGAAGAATTCATCTCTAACACACTACTTGGGTTGGGCAATTCCCTTTCAAATGTGCTCTCCATCGGTCGTCCTTCTTGTAGAGAGGCATTCCACCGCTCGGAGCGCTCAGCTGAGAAGCCAAGTGTTTCCAGTTTGGAATAATTCTCATTCTTTGATTCGCTTTTGGGAGATAGCTGCCAGGTGGTCTCTCCCGTCTTCCCTGTTTCTGGAGAAGATCTCATCTCTGTATCTACTGCTGTAACCTGTAGTTCGGTCTCCTTTAGCGGTGAGAAATTCCGGTGATCGGGGCTGCTTTGTTGGTTGTCACAGAATGGGTCTGGCTTGTTCTCTCTTGCTTCTGAATTGCCTACATACGCAGGACACTCCTCAGACTTGGGATCAGCGGTGGCCAAGAACTTATTAGGTTCATTCACTGAATCCCAAGCTCTGGGGTCGCTCTGAGCAACTTGGCAAGTGCCCAAGTGGACCTCTTTCTCCACTGACTCTTCATCACCTATGCTGTCGTCATCAGAACCTGAACTTGTTGAAATGAACTTGGCATCCTCTGGCTGCACGGTTTTAGGAAGGTCATGGTCATTTTTCTCCTGATGGCTAACCACTAGATACCTTTCCTGATATGCCTCGGAATACTCAGAACATTTGCCTGTTTCAGGGCTGGATACAGACGAAAAGGAATCACCATCTACTGAGTCATTCCAAATCTCTAAAAATTTAGGAACCTTGAGATCTAAGCTCTTTTCAAACCTGTCCATTCTGTTTTTGTCCAGGTCCTCCATTTCAGTAATTACTTCTATTTGGCCATCAGTAGTAATTAGTTCAGATTCTTGGTGACTCTGTTTGCTCCAATCATCTTGATTCTGCTCCTGATGCCCCATATTGGGTCCATGTTCCCAGGAAGGCAATGGAGCTGAGGAATCATTTAGGCCAGGACTCGATGCACTCGAATGTGTATACTCACTAGAAATACTATCTCTGCGATAATTTCCTGATGAAGAAGCTCCTGGAAGGCTGTTTTCAGTACTCTCAACTTCAAGACTCTTAGTAATCTCAGAATTTGGGACATTGACCTGCACATCACTGTCTACAGAGCCATCCCAAATGTCAAGGCTTTGGGGACATTCATGGCGTGGCTCTTGGCTCACTCTCTCTGGTTCCAGAACGTTACACTCTTCAGTGCTCTCAAGACTCATTTCAGGGAAAGATACAGTTTTTGTTAAATTCAGCCCAAGCCCACTGGAAGTGTCAGTGGCGTCATCTGAATTTCTGTGATACGGGAGGGGCTTGTCACAGGTCTCTTCTGCCCGCAGGTCATTTGTGGACACTTCTGCGCGCACATCACAGGAACCTGGATTGTAAGACCCCCTCTCGTGCTCTAAAATCTCCTGGGGTTCCTCAGTCTGAGGGCTGGAAGGGACTGAGAGAGAGTTGATTTTGCCGGACTCATCACAGATTTCTTGATGTTCAGATGCAACCGGGGAAGAGCCTTCCCGGTCACTTTGTCCTTTTCCAGACTGCTCCGAAGCTCCGTCTGTCATCTCCTCCTCACGGAGGTGCTCCCTAGCAGTGGCTCCATGGGCTTCCTCCTCACCTTTGCTTTGTCCACAGCTAGGACCTGTCCATGGATCTGAGGGTCCAAAATGCCCTGGATTCTCAAAGTTGGTTGCCAAGGATGTCGCATCATGTGGCAGGGTTCCTCTGCACGGGTCCTGCTTATCAGGATCAAGTGCACCTGACTCGCCGGCTCCAGAGGCTTCTAGCATGTCTGGGATACAACTGTCCTTAATTTTTTCCGATGAGTTGGGAGTTCCAGAAGGAGATTTGTGTTGTTCAGAATCTGTGACATATGAGGGGCCTGGTAACATTAACGAAGACATGTCATTATCTCTCATGACGGAGTCCCAAATGCTATCTGCGATCAGCTGTCCACTTTTTTCATTCAGTGTGTGATATCCATTGGCAGGAGTGTCCTTGCTGTGCTCAGAAGGTGCGGGGAGTTCCCAATCCCCCTGATTTGCTTCCTGATACTCCACACCCCATGGCTCCAGCTGTCTCACTGAAAATCGGGTCTCCGGTTCAGCGCTTTCAATCATGTATCCTTGTGCTTGACCTTCACTGGAGATTGCCACACCCGCGCTACAGTCGTCCCAGTCCAAATCATTATCCATATCGGAGATGGTCGCAGTGGACTGCGTGTCCTCCAGAATCACTCTGTTCCACAAGTCGAGGCTGTCAGGGGCCGCCTGGCGGGAGTTTGTGCTGCTGTGCAGAAGCGTGAGCTGTCGGTTTGTTTCATTGTACAGCTGCATCATGCTGGGGTCGTCGTAACTGGACAGGCTGCTTTCCCCGATGTCATCCTCCATGGAGATGTTCTTATCATCTGTGGGCTCCGTCCTGAGTAAATCCTTCTCGGAGTTGTAAGTGACATTTGTCTCCGAACTGTTATCTGCATCCGGTGAGCCCCACATTTCTAGGTTCCCGGGACCTGAACTAATTCGATTTCTAGGTGGCTGCTGCGGTGACTGGGGAGGCATTTCAGTCTCCCCTGTGGCAGAGTTAGCATCTTGTGACTCAAAACCTCCCTCTTTAGCAAATGGCTTGCTTTCTGTTTCTTTCTCGTCTCCAGCAAATGTTGGCGAAGTATAGGAGTCAGATGTGGAGTAGTTGGTATCTAAGGGGGAGGGCACCGAATCTCCCCCTATGTTGGATGCACTGTAATCGGGACATTTGTATAAGAAGGAATCTTCCCAAGGTGCCAGGACGTCTGCCCCTCCTTTTTTGATACCCTCCTCAAAAAGGTTCCAGGAGTCTACCTTTTCATACACCTCCCCCCTAATTTTGGGATCCATTAAGCCATTCTGATCTTCCTTTGTCGGTTTGGAACCATTCCACGCGTGGTCCAGATCGGATCTGGGGTTTCCAGATATAAGGATATTATCCCTGGAGTCGTGGTTCTTCTTACCCCAGATTTCTGGGGGTGCTTCATTATTTGCCTCACTGGGTGAATTGTCTTCCGAGGGAAAAGAAAACCCACTTTTTGCCATGGCCCATTCCCTCGGGTCCCTCACAGAAGGCGTCTCACCGCTCGTTGGGTGCAGATTCCAGGTATTTGCCAAAGCTTTGGTGCCATCTTCTTTACCAAATGCACTCCAGGCTGGGAATGACACCGCAGCGGCTGGTTCCCCATCTTCTGTGGGATTTCCCCACGGCTCCGGCATCGCCGTGGGAGAGCGATCAGAACGCCACAAGGCAGCAAAGTCTTCGATCAGGTGGTGTGCCCCCTGAGGAGAAGCGCTGGGCAGATTCGATTTCTCTGTGGGCACGTTCTGAAACTGTAAGTGGTCCTCATTTTGGTCCTGAATATTATGGCTGCCCAGCCCAGGCTGACCAAATTCAGACTCCCAGGGACTTGACTTTGGGAAATCGAGACTCTTTGGTGGAAATATAGAATCTGAGGCTCTTCTGTCCACTGGGCTTGGCTTATGGTCTTTCCATGACTCGGGGCTCTGGAAGACAGACTCCTGTTCACTAGAACTCCATGTGTCTGCAATATTTTTAGAGTCAATTTCCAAGCCACCCCACCAGCTGCTGCACCGTGCACGGGTCTGAGGTGGCCCTATGTGACCCGCGTCTACTGCTTTTGGGGTCACACTTTCTGGGTAGAGTAGAGCTGGTTCTTCCGTGGATGGTGAACTTTCTACAAAGCTATTCATAGGTGTTGGTGGGACCCGCTTTCCAATATTTTTCAGCCTTTCTGGTGAAGGAGATTTATCTCCCACAAAACCTGTCAGGCTCACATTTCTTTCAGAGTTATCCTCGGGACTTTCTGGTCTCTGAACAAATTCCTCATCAAATTCCACAAGGTCATCTTTGCCAGCCTCTGACAAAAGTGAACTGGATGAATATTTGGACATGTCCATCCCTATCCCATTGATTTCTTTAGGCCCCGTCGGGGGTTGTCCTTCTGATGAATCACTATTGGGGAAGAAGTCATCTGCAGGAGAGTAGTCTGCAGAATGAGAAGATGGTTGGGACTGCCCAGAAGCCATGGTTGCTGAGTCAAAGTTGAAGAGGTCAAAGGATTCCCTGTGTTCTCCAGACCGGGCATGCTCCTCTGGGACTGCTCCTTCGGGGATGGGACTATAGGAGTCAAACCCTGGGAGGAGGCTGTGGTGAGGCCCAGCACCTTCTCCCACTGGACTGTCATCACTGAGGAAAACCGAGCTCTCCTTGGATGAACGGCTGCTCCTAATGGTGGCCAACCCGCTATCTGGGCTGACGAGGTCGATGTTTACATCCACCTGAGCCTGATTAGAATCGTTGAGATCTGGAGGGTTTTCTATGAAATTCACGGAGCTGGGCTGTGGCTCTATGTCAGAACCATACAGCTCCATAATCCCGGAAGATCCCTGGGACAATGGGGCGCTGCCTGCCACGGCTTCCGTTGAGGACGTCCGGCTGTTGGAGACCATCTCTGGACATCTCCTGTTGATGACTTCCTTGACGAGAAGGAGCACCTGATCACAGGTCACCAACGGGTTCTCCTGCTGGTACACCAGGATCTCATCACAGCCACATTCAAAGGGCTCCAGCTCCAGGCAAGGGTTCTGGCTTTCTTCCAGTTCGCAGCAGATCTGTCAGGGAGGCACAGGGGTTTGTGTGAGCACTCAGGCACCCCTTGCATCTTCCTTAACTTTTCTTAATATAAAACTGATCTGGGTTCATCCGTCTACAAAGAAGATCTCAAACAACTGAAAACTGCATAACGTAAGACACGGAAAGTCCCACTTACTATACCACCGGCTCTTCCTACAATCCCATCCAACTGGCTCTTCTTTGAACTCAAAATCCCACTGCTCAATTTTGCTTGCTTCTGAAAGTTACAGGTTAAGAGACTGCCACCATTTAAATCCTTTCCTTGTCGTAATATGATACCGCCTTCCAACGGGAGTGCCAGTTAAGTTTGCAAAAAGCAGAGAGAATGCTGGTTGCTGAGAACTAGGGGAACACGTGTGAGAATAAGGGGCAATCAGGTGGACAAAGGGCTTTTGTTTAGGACCAGGCACCGGGGACCTGCTTTTGCCTCGGAAAGCCTCGTAAGGGGAAGGAGAACATAGGAAAGAGAAAGCTACCAGAGGTGGAACCTCCTAACAGCACTTCGGGGCCCCAACTGTCTCTTCCCGCCCCAGGGAGCATCGACGGGGAGCCTGGAACAGACAAAGCTCACCTGGGAGGCCAAGAGAATGTGTGACAGCTGGCGTGAGGCCAGAACTGGGCTGCAGCTCTATGATGTTTTTAGGAAATGTCAGGGAAATTTGGCACACTGGGCTTTTGAAATGGCCCCACAGGGTCAGTGGCGGTAACAACAATAGTAATAATACATTTGTTATTATCATCATCACATAGATGACGATGATAATAATAATTAACACTGATTGAGTGTTTCCATATGCCAGGCACAGTTTAAAGGTTTTATGTGCATTATCTTCTCTAATCCTCAAAATAATTCTGTTACAAGGTAGGGATCCTTTGTCCCTGTTTTGCCAATGATCAAACAGAGACCCAGCGAGGTTAAATAACTTGTAGTTAATTTTTTTTTTT